AAAAACATCAAATAATGCTTAAAATTTAAATTTAAAATGTAACAAAACAACAATATCTGGATAAGTCAAGCAGAACAAAGAAATCTCAGAGTTAAATTGCACCCTAGATCAAATCAACCTAACAAGTATCTACAGAATGGTTCACCTAACAGCTGCTGAATGCATACTTTTCTCATCAGTACACATAATGTTCTATATATTTAAGATAGATCATATGACAGAGCACAAAGAAGTCTCAATACATTTTAAAATCTAACTCATACTAAGTATCTTTGCTAACCACCATGCAATAAAGCTAGAAATCAGTAACTCAAAACTTTAGAAACTATACAAAGCCATAGAAATTAAACAATGTATTATTTAACACCTAATACAGCAAGGAAAAAATCAATAAGGAAATTAAAGAAATTTTTTGGAAAGATGTAGAAATAGAGACACAACATACCAAAACCTACAGGAGGCAGCAAAAGCAATGCAAGAAGAGAAGTTTATAGCAATCAAAGCCATAGAAAGATATTGAACAATCTACCACTGCATGTCAAGGAACTAATAAAAAACAACAAACTAAACCCAGAATTATTAGAAGAGATAATGAGGTAACAAAAAAACAAACCAAATGTAGACTAAAGCAAAAGAACACAAGGGACCGATGAAACAAACATAAATACACAAACCCTTAGCTAGGCTGAGAAAGGGAAAGTAAAGATTCAAATGAATAGAATCAGAGATTAACAGAGAAATATCAGAGCTGGCACCATTGAACTACAATAAAGATTATTATGAACACATATGTCAAAAAATTAGCTACTGTAGAAGAAATTGACAAATTCATGGAGGAAGGGAGGAAGGGATGGCGTAAAAAAAGAAAACTATAGAGAAATATCCTTGGTGAACATAGATGCAAAAATCCTCAACAAAATATGACCAAATCTAATCCAACATTACATTAAAAAGATTATTCAACCGAGAAAGTAAAAAAGGGCTCATACGGTGAGGGAAGAAAGAGTTCCAGAATGGATAGAACGGTACAGGTGCCATGAATGGGAAATTGGGGAAAAGGGCTGGAGGGTAAAAGAAAAGGAGAGGGAGGAAAGAGACAGAAGCAACACTGAGGACTTCAGAAAAAACCATAAGGAAATGCATTTTACTTAAAAGCACATAAATAATGTGGGAAGCAGGCAAGGGAAACCTCCCTTCAATTGTTGGCCCTGGTATTCCAAGAGACTTCCAAAACAATATAGGCTATTGCCATTACCCTTAGTTTCCTCTCCAACTATAAAGGTAAGACCCTGTTTCTGAAGACACTACACACTTCAGATATAGGACTTGGAGGGCTCAAGCTAGAACTTATTTGGAAGCCTCCTCCCTGAAGACTAGCTGTCATAGTATCACAAGGTACTATGCAAGCTGCCAAGGGAGAAAACCAATCAGTAGTTCTACCCAGCCGTAAAGTCTATGAATCACAAAAATGACCAGCCTAGTAAAATATCCCTAAATTGCAATAGTCACGCTTTTATCTTGGGAGTAACCAACAGGTGTCTAATAGGACTTAAGGCCCACTCAATAGAAGGGAATTCATACCTGCTACTGTAAACCTAGCCAAATATCCATGACTGGAGAGGTCACAGACCCTAGCGGAGAGCCTAATAGTGCCATTTTCCTAAATCAATATAGTTTCTACCTGTACTCTAAATACTTACCCTTATAGCCACAGATAAGTGTAGCTCTCGTCTCTCATCAAAGAAGCTTCTTTTTGCATTAGAGGGTATTACAGATACCCACAACTGGTCAAAATGCAGAGAAAAATGACCATAGGGTGCCTAGCCCCAATTGATACATCTATAATGCACTTCCTACACCTAAGGCTTGGGAAACATTGCAGAAGATGGGGAGGCAAGATTGTAAGAGCCAGAGAGAAGACCAGGACATCTGCTGTTAGATAGTGTCTTCTAGACATGACAGGGAAGTTGCTCCCATGAAATCTCAACGATATGGTTTCATAAACAAGATCTGCATAATGACAACAACAATCAACATGCCAGTGTAGATGGGGGAAGTTTCACAGGGTCCCACTTCTAGATGAAGACCTACAGGCAATCAATGGCCGTTGAGAGGGGGAGAATCCATATTCTCCATGGATGAGCTCCCTGAGTTTATCCAATCCCAAGTGGTCACCCTGAACACATGTACAGATGAGTAGCACAAAAGATTACTCACCACAATCAAGTAGAATTCATCCTAGGAATGTAACGAAGGTCCAATATAGATCCAATATAGGGAAATTAATGAACATAATAAACAACATCAGCAGATTGAAAGACAAAAACTACCTGGTTATCTCAATTGACGTAGAAAAGTTATTCAATAAAATTCAACACAAAAATTCTGAACAGATTAAGCATCCAAGTAACATGACTCAGCATAATTAGAGACATTTTAGAATAAGCCAACAGTTAGCATTATACTGAATTGGGAAAAGCTTTCTCTATGAGATTTGGATCAAGACAAAAATGCTCACTTTTGCTTTTATTCAACATAGTGTTTAAAGGCCTGACCAGAACAATTACGCATGAGAAAAAAAAAAGCCATCCAAGATGGAAAAGAAGTCAAACTGTCCCTGTTTATACATCTACCAAAAATTACGATTGACAAAAAAATCAATCATCAAACTTGCAGGATATCTAATCAACATACAAAAATTTTGTAGTATTGTCATATATATGTTAGATTTTTCATTGCTGTGATAAATACCCAAAGAAAATTTAAGAGAGGAAATATTTACCCTTTCTCATAGTTTCAGAGGTTTCTTCATTCCATCATGGTGAGGATAGTGTGGCAAAGCCAAGCAAAGCAGCTCACGTGATGCAGGAAAAGCGAGAGGGGAGAGGAGAGAGAGAGGGAGAGAGAGAGAGAGAGAGGAGGACGAAGAGAAGGAGGAGGAGGAGGAGGGGGAGGAGGGGGAGGAAGAGTGGGGGGGAAAGAAGATGAGAGGAGAGAAGAGGGGAGAGGAGAGAGAATTACATTAGAGGACCTTCTCTTTATTAATAATCATTTAATTCCAGCTGAGGTCCCAGTCTATTGGATGGTTCTGTCCACATTCAGGACTAGTTTTACTTCCTTAGTTAGCCCTGCCTAAATATGCCCTTACAGACACACCCAGAATTATGTTTCGTTAGTTTCCTAGGCAATTCTCAATCCAATCAAACTGACAATCAAAATTAATCATCATGTACCTACAATGAATTGCCTGAAAGAGAAATCAAGAAAATCACAATAGCTATAAAAATTAAAATACCTACTAATAAATTTAATCCAAGAGGAGGTGAAAGAAAATTATTAAATATCAGTGAAATAAATTGATACAAGATACATAGGACACAAAATCTGAAAGCCATCCTGTATTTGCGGATTGGAAGAATCAATATTGTTGAAATGCCTACACTAATCAAAAATATTTACAGATCAAATGCAATCCTACCAAAATACCAATGACATTCTCAGGGGCTGAAGAGATGGCTTAGCAACTGGGTTCCCAGTACCCAAACTAGGCATCTCACAAGAGTCTGTAACTTTACCTCCAGGAGAACTGACATCCTCTTCTCTCCTCCTAAGGTACCCCTCTCCCACACACATGTCTTTCACAAACACAAACACACACACAAATAAAAATAAAAATAATAAAAACAAATCTTTAAAATACCAGCACTCAGGATGTAGAGGCAGGTGGATCTCTGTGAGTTCAAGGACAGCCTGGTCTACATACCAAAAAAAACCCCAATGATATTCTTCACAGAACTACAAAGAAAATTCTAAATTTTATGTAGAATTACAATAAAGAGTAGCATAAGCAATTTTTTGCAAAAGAAACAAAGCAGGAAGCATTATGCTACACGACTTTGCAAAGCTGTATTAATCAAAGTATCATGGTATTATCATAAAAACAACAGAACAGAAGAAAGAGCTGAGAAGTAAGCCTCTGAATCTTTAGTCAAATGATTGACAAAAGTTCTAGGGACACACATTGAGAGAGGTTTTTTCAATGAATTGTGCTAGGAAATTAGATATACAAATGCAGAATGAAACTAGCCTTCAATCTCGCATCAGTTCCAAAGATCAATTTAAAAAGTATTAAATGGTTAAAGAAAATATAGGGGAAATGCTTCAAGACTAGAATTGAAAATGATTATTTTAAACAAGACCCCCAAAACAATAAAGAAAAATAAAAATAGACAGAATACACAAATGGGTTATATAAAAGAAACACTCAACAGAGTGCAAAGACAGCCTACAGAATAGAAAATACTTATAATGTGTACACATGACAAGGGCTTGATATTCAAAATATACAAGGAATTCTAAAAACTCAATAGCAAACCAAAAAAAACCTCAAAAATAAGCAATGAACCTAAACATATATTTTTGAAAAGATACACAAATGGCCATGAAAGGAATATGAAAAACTGTTCAATACCAGTAATCATACAGAAAAATCAAATCAGAACCACAATCAGATGTCACCACACCTGGGTAGGAATAACTATTATAAAAAACGACTAAAGATAACAAGTGCCCAAATGCCAGAGAGGATGTGAAGAGAAAAGGAAACATTTGTATCCCTACTGGTTGAGAGGTAAATAAGGACAGGTATTAGGGGAAATGGTATGGCTGTTCTTTAAAAAAAAAAAAAAAAATGAGTTGCAATTGGAGATATGTCTATGATGTTTTTATTATTTTCAAAAAACAAATTTTAGAATAAAAGTCCAATTTGATTTGATTTTTGTAAACAAAATAGCAATGGATGCATATGTGGAAGTAATATTTGCATGTTTATCTGAGCATGGAAATACGTGTAGACAATATATACTTATTGGGTTTTCATTTTCTATTGTTACACTAGCTTTAATGAATCAGTAATGTTTGCAATTTTAATGATAAATTTTTTAAAATTAAGAAGAGTGGATAAGGTAATTAGAAAGGAAAACACACTTTTTTGTGCGCTCCTCTTATAGACAGTGTGGTGGCGCAATGTCGCGTCTACGCAGAGAATTACAGTATCCCGGTTGTCGGTGATGAGTCAGAGTGCGTGGTGCTGATGCTGCTGCCATTTCATCACCTTTGCAAGCGCAGCATCCATCCCTCCGATCTCCCAGCGCCTGGGCCTACCTCGCTTCAGGCTCCCAGGCCAGAGATGCGCTCGCCGACGAGCTAGATCCGGGCTGAGCAACGCTCTCTAAGGCCTTGGTGGGGCGCCCCCTTTCGCTGCCCCAGCCCCTGGCAGAGATCTGTCAAGCCGAGGCCATGGAGGCCATCTGGCTCTATCAGTTTCGGCTCATTGTCATCGGCGATTCCACAGTGGGAAAGTCCTGCCTGATTCGCCGCTTCACCGAGGGGCGCTTCGCTCAGGTTTCCGACCCCACCGTGGGGGTAGATTTTTTCTCCCGCTTGGTGGAAATCGAGCCAGGAAAACGCATCAAGCTCCAGATCTGGGATACAGCGGGTCAAGAGAGGTTCAGGTGGGAGCGCAGCCCGGGCCCGCGAGGAGTGGGAGGGGCTTCGGGGCTTGCACCTTCCCTGGGGAAAGAGGACTTCCTGGTTCTATTCGCGATACTGGGGTGACAAGCAAAGATCTGGGGCTTCTACTGAAGCCCACTTTGAGCAAGCCAGGAGTTCAGTGGAGGGAAAGATTCACCCTGGCAGGGAAGGCCATTCTTTAAGACATTGCTTACACCACAACTCCATCAACCTTCCCCTTGGTGGCTAATAAACTACCTGGAATTGAGCGCTATATAATTCATCAAACTGAGACCCTATGTTCCCATAGTTTTTAAAAAAGTATTTCCAGGTCTCCAGATCATCTTAACGTAACTGACAGCTATAGGTGGGTGGAAGAGGGGGTAGGTAGATAGGTAGGTACTAGACAGTGTATTCTCTCTCTCTCGTCTGTCTGTGTGAACATATGTCCTAATATAAAGGAAACAGACACTGATGAATTGATTTTTTCTTGTAGCCAGCATACATTCGGTTACCAGCCAGTGGACTTGTTTCTGGGGAAATAGTGTGAGAACACTCACATAAGAGAATGCCATAAAATCTGAACACACAGAGCCCCTGACTTCTTGGAACTTCTGTACTAACACAGTAGGGAGAAACAGATAAAGAGCCAACAGCAAACTGTTGTGTTGTTTGTGTTTGTATGCCACTCCCTAATGTACCACTAGGCATATGAGTAATGAATGAATTTGTTTATTTTTCTTTCACAACCCTTGACTCTTCCTTTGTAGCATGCATTACTTTGTAACTTTATGTATGATATAGAGGAGGAAAGTGTAACTATAGAGGATGAGGCCCAAGCAAGGACAGGAAATGCCCAGAAGTAGGAAACAGTACGAATACAAAAGAAGTAACAGAAAACAAACTGTACACAAAAACTTTGCAGAAATCAATTTGAACTAAAGACAGAGCAACAGAAAACAAATAAAAAAGACTCAATACCCTATATTTATGATCATTGATTAATTTTCCATTGAACACTAAATAAGAATAGAAAGTACTGGCTAGGTAATTGAAAAAGGGTAGCGAGAATAAATAGTTACAAACTTAAGTTGCCTCTTAACTATCCATTTGTACAAAGCTTGACAAATACCTTTATACAAGTTTTCATAAGAAAGGTATCTTGTGTACATTTGCTGGGATTTCTATATAAACAATCCCTTCATATTTACTGCGCATCATTTATTATGCAGTGCTTATTTGTAAGACTTCTTTACAGATTTAAGAATAATAACCCCATCAGCAAGCATGGTGGTACAGGCCTATAATTCCAGCACTCTGGAGGCTGAGGCAAGAGGATGATGAGCTCAAGGCCAGCCTGGGCTTCTGCCTAATAAAAAGAACATTAACCTTTATATGTCATACATGTTGTAAGATATTTTCCCAGTTTGTCCTTTATCTTTTCATGTTAAGATTTCCTTTTATTTTGAGAAAATGTTTAGTTTTATGTAGCTTTATGTTGTCCTTAGAACAGGCTTTCACACTTTTCATGCTTAAATTCAAACTAATAATGCAATAATGTGAGCACTTTCACAGGCATCCACAACTTCCTTATTGATTTCTTGAATCAAGCTTTTCACAAATCAAAACCTTTGTTTATATCTAATTTTATGCTACAGCTACCATTCTCTGAGAATACTGAAACACAGGGGAATTAGGAGTTATTCCCTGGGGCTAATCTGCCTAGTACTGGAGATTTGAATTCATCTGTAAGGCCTGCCGTTAACCATCCTCTGGCTTCAGCTGTAATTCTCTACACATTTTTTTATTAACTTTGGGCCATTTTTCCTTAAATTGTAAAGTATAGAGCCGTTCATTATTTATCAGACCCACCCCAGAAGATAGAAATACTAAAAAAAAATAAAATAAAATAAACATGGGTTTTAAAAATGGGAGGCAGAGGTAGGCGGATCTCTGTGAGTTCAAGGTCAGCCTGGTCTACATAGTGAGTTCCAGGACAGCTGGGGCTACAGGGAGACCCTGTCTCAATAAGACCAAAAGAAAAAAAATTGCAATAGGGGGCTGTAGAGATGGCTCAGTGGTTAAGAGCACTAGTTGCTCTTGCAGAGGACTCCAGTTCAGTTCCCAGAACCCACATGACAGCTAAGAACCTTTGGGTCTCTAGTTCCAGGGGATCTGACACCCTCTTCTGGCCTCTGCAGGCATTGCACACATGGGTGCACTTACATATATGCAGGCAACACACATGCACATAAAATATAAATAAATCCATCAAAAAAGTTTAATTGCAATAGTCTAAAGCAAGTAATTATAGAGGCAAATAGTTCTACATCCTTTCATAAGCTCCTAGAATCTTAACCAAAGTACCACAATATATATTTATAATGAGACTCATCAACTCAAGAAATTAAAATATGTGAGATTTCTTGTTAAGATGTACAGCAAATGTACAACTAGGCTTTAGAAATACCCTAATTACAATGACTTAAATAAATAACATAACTTTGGGGATGGAGAAATGGCTCAGTGATTAAAAGCACATACTGCCCTTACAGAGGAGCTGAGTTTGGTTTCGAGCACCCATGTTGGGTGGGGTCACAACCACCACCAGGGTGCTCCAGTTTCTAAGAGCACCCACATGCACATGCACATACACACACACACATAATTTAAAATATTTTTTAAAATAACACTATGTGAAAGATTTGACTGTTTAGGCACCTTTTCCCAGCTAGAATGTGTTCAGTCAGCCTCTTGGAATTTTGTCAGTGAGTAGGGCTGCTAAGAGGTAGTTTACCCCAGAACATTTATCATCCTCATTTTCTCATTCCCACATGACTTAGAAAATACAAAAAAAAAGAGATTGTTCCTCTTCACGGAAGAGATTGACAACCCCTGCAACAGGGGTAATGATAAATAGAAAAATAAAATAAGTTAAATAAATGTTGTGGGATATCCATAGAGTTATAATCTTTGATGACTATAATAAATTCATTTTACTCTTGGAAATTCCTTTCAACTACTAGTACTTGTAATGAATTCACCAAGTTAGAGAACACTTTACAGTCCATTGTGTCATTTTGTCTTATGAGTACTCTGTGACTTAGATATTTTGTTTTGTTTTCAGAAAAGGAACTGTGTTTCAGTTATTCAGATTTGGAAGTGGGAGAGTTAATTGTGGTGGAAAATAGGAAATCATATCCCAGAGTTTCTTTCCAATGCTGAATGAAAACACCTGAAAGTTCATGAGCACTCATTTCTAGGAAGGGCCATCTCAAAATTTTACCCAATTGAAAACTTGTCATTATTATAATAGAATGGCATTTGTATTTAGTAAAGAACTATCAGTAACCAAAAACACTAGAATTAATTAGAGTGCAGGAGTATGGGTATGACCTTTATTCTTTACTTCTCTCTTGTGTTTTAGATCCATCACTCGTGCCTACTACAGGAATTCAGTAGGTGGTCTTCTCTTATTTGACATTACCAACCGCAGGTCCTTCCAGAATGTCCATGAGTGGTTAGAAGAGACCAAAGTACACGTTCAGCCCTACCAAATTGTATTTGTTCTGGTGGGTCACAAGTGTGATCTGGATACACAGAGGCAAGTGACTCGCCACGAGGCAGAGAAACTGGCTGCTGCATACGGCATGAAGTACATTGAGACGTCAGCCCGAGATGCCATTAATGTGGAGAAAGCCTTCACAGACCTGACAAGAGACATATATGAGCTGGTTAAAAGGGGCGAGATTACAATCCAAGAGGGTTGGGAAGGGGTGAAGAGTGGATTTGTACCAAATGTGGTTCACTCTTCCGAAGAGGTTATCAAATCAGAAAGGAGATGTTTGTGCTAGTCAACCCTTCCATTTTCAAAACATGCTCTCCCACCTGAACTTATAAGCTATCAAAATAATTAGAATCCTGAAGTGACTGAAGAGAACTCAACCTTTGGATACCAAGTGAGCCTCCCTCCTAGGGGTGGGGCTGTGATGGGCTCATGTGTAGGTGGATGGGAATCCTGGGTGCTGTAACTGAGGGACTAACTTGCTGACATGGACTGAATCAGACATTGCTTTGTGGACCAGGGTTGGAAGTGGCTGCTCCATATGCCCTTGGTGGAGCACATGTTAAGGGGTTGGGGTTTGGAAAGCTAGGGTCCAGGAAAACATACCTACAGACAGAACAACTGTTCCTTGGTATTTCAACTCATTCAGAGGTCATGAACACAAATATGTAAAGGGAAAACAAGTATCATGTTGGGGACAATTAAGATAACTGACAAAAAAGAGTATGCTATCAACATATTCAATGACAATATCATGCTAAACATGTGTGATGAGTATGGTTCAAAGACACTAATTTGCTTCTAACAGCTCAACTATAAAATGAAAGAGCCATATGGATCAGCTATTTGGTAAGGTCCTTTTGAGGTCTAGCATTCTAGTAAAAACTGTGTGAATATGAAAAGGGAAGGCATTCACACTATGTTATTATCACATTTAAGAAAGTGTGCACTCTTATGATAGAGTTACCAAGTATGTGAAAGAAACTGTCCCATGGAAAATGGTCTTGTAAGTAGAAGAAAGAAACACTGTAACCCAAAAGCCAGATCCTTTCCCCTCCGACCATACCTTGGGTTTCACTACATCAGGGACCACAATCTGGAGGTAAGCATAGTGTCTGCTTCTTCAGGTACCTGAAAATGACAACACAGGTATTGTGTGAAAAGAGCCCTGAGGCAAGCCCTCTGACATTGGTCCTGGGCTTAGTACTTCCTCAAGGGTAGCCCTGGAACCCCTATAAATCTTCCATTTATACTTACTCCACTTAATAGACGTGAGGTTTTTGTCCTCATCTTACAGAATAAGAAACCAGGAGCCAGGATACTCACTTGGCCAATGTCAAGGCCTACCCAATTCCTAGCTCTTTTCACTGGATTATTATACTGTCAGATGGATAAATTATTATTAATTTACTAAGTTTGGAAGATATGTGACTATAAATAAATGTTCTCTACATGATAGGGTATGTTTTCCTTGTTGTTTTACAGCTCAGCTATAATCCTGCAGGAAGCCGGGAATGAATCAAAGGTAAAGCCCATTTGGGTATTATTGACAAGAGGGCTTTAAATAAGGGACTAACTGCACAACTGAACACACATTAAAATTTTGTGGGCTCTAAGTGTTTTTTTTACAAACACAATGGACATTTTGTTGAAAGGAACTAATATAGCAATGGGAAGTGGGATGAGTATAAAGTACTCACCCCCAAATGACCTTGGTCACCTGTCTGCCATGTATCTACACTGGGCTCCCTAGAGAGTCAGCTCTTAATTCTCAGGTGAACAGACAGCTAACCATATCAGCAAATCAGAATGGCTGGCATGAAAATTCCATTATCTTCTTGAAGAGAAGTGATGCTTTAAATTATCTTTTGGATTGTAGCTAGGCAAAAGCCATAGTTTTCATTGTAAGAAAACAATCCTGATTCGAGCCAAGTTTCTCATATCCATTGTGGTAGGAAAGCCTAAGAACGGCACATTGTTTTTTCAATATCCTCCAGGATATAAATGAATCTGAAAATTTAAGGATTTGCTTCAACCAAAATAAAGAAACCAAATAATAAAAATTATGAAAGACTATTCTTCCACTTTTGCTTCAATTTGGATAAACAAACCATCTTGAACCCATTCACAGCATCAAGTACAAGCAAAGGGATCATTTTCTTTATATTCATTTCACAAAATATAAATCGCTAATCTGTTGGTTGTAGAAGGCAAACAAAAAAAAAACAGTTAATTGGGTGGACACAAAATTTGAACAGCTATACTTATGTCTAGATGGTTGTGAAAGCAAAATCATCCAGTGGATGAGAGTTGACTAGATTCTTGTCAGTTCAAAAGAGATAGAAATAAAACACCTCTACAGTTCTCTTGACTAAAATACATTATATATTTTCCCATTCCTGGCACTTTTAAGCAGGTTTAAAAAATACTCAGAATAGATGCAGCAGAAGTGGCTGAACTTAACTGCTTAATCAAGTTCTAGAAAACCTTAAAAATCATTTTAGTAGAATTCAGTGCTGTTGTCACTGCAATAAGTGGGTTTTAGAAAATAAGTGTGAAAAAATCAGGTGTTAATATAATATTAAGGATAAAGCTTTAGGAGCTATTTTACTACATAGGTAAAGAAAAGTAAACTAACTTGTAACAAAGATCACAACTGCATGTTGGATTAGATTGTCATATTCCAGAACAAAATGTACTGTGTACTTTGCCTCACTTTGTTGTGCACTGTAATGAAATGTGAAAAAATTCTTTATTTAGCTGTATGTGAATGAAAATATGCTTGTATTTAGTAAAATGGTTGATTATGTGACTGTGACAATGGTTAATATGGAAAGTCAAACTTTAAACACTAAATATGGCTTTCTTTCCTCTGTGTGTGTGTGTGTGTGTATGTGTGTGTGTGTGTGTGTGTGTGTGTATGTGTTGTAGATATTTCCAGAATGTGTCCCTTCAGTATAGCAAACAAAGATACCAGTAAGATACCAATCAGGTACTTCAGTGTACCAAGGATATCAACATGATGTGACATACTTTACATAAACATAATCATCAGTATCTGAAAGCCAAAAAGAGAACACAATTTCTTAAATATATATGACTCATGTTGAAAAAAATCACAGAAACCTTGCTATTTCTTTTTGGCCACTGTGTAAAAAGTTGGATCTGTGAAGCGTAAAGCATCATTATTATAAATTTCAATTAAGGACCTTAATTCTGTCACCAGGTAGTTAATTGCAACATTGTCTTCCCTAGAAAGTCTATTCTCAAAGCCAAGTAGCCTTGGCGTCTTCAAATCCTACTGTGGAATACTTTCATGGCAGGAATACTGCAAGTGTGGGAACCAGATTGGAACACAGTCATCTACTTCATTTTTCCAGAGCAGATAGTATACATGTAGGGGAAGACCTAAGAGATGAGATGTTTGTGAATCTGTGCATAAAAGCATGCTAATCTCACTGTAGCCTTATCACTTTTGTAGTCATAAGTAAAGGGAAGTCATAATTAAAGGAAAAAGGGAAAAAGTAACAATAAAACCTCATTTGATAGAGCTTGTTACTCTTAAATTTTTCCCCTAGGCTGGATCATCTTTTCTTCATTTATATTAATTCCTGTAGCGACCACAGTCATTCCCTTGGCTTTAAGAACCATCTGTGAGCCAGTAAACCCTGGGTTAATATTTCCAGCTCATTTCTTATCCATGGACTCGACTTATAACCAACTGCTTACCTATCATCTCCGTTTGAATGTTCATTAAAGTCACAAGTTTAATGTCCCAAATCAGGTTCTGACCTTCTACCCAAAGCTATGCCATAGCCTTCTTCTCCTTAAGAAATGGTAACTTTCCCTTCCCATGTATTCCAGCCAATAAGCTTGGAGTCATTCTTCCTTCCTTCTCTTTCTTAGCCCACATTTGGTCTATCTGAAAATTATGCTGGTATAAAAGTATAAAAAGAATCTGACAAATTTTCAACATCTTCATTGCTAACATACTGTTTTGTCCACTACACTTGTTCCCAGAGTTATTTTTACATAACTGGTCTCCCTACAGCTGCTCTTGCCACCTCCTTCCCTACTACAGTCTATTCTCCACATGGCAACCCAAGGGAGGCTGATGAAGCATGAGCTAAAAACATTAAAACGGTCACCTACTCAGTTTTCCAGTGGTTATCCATTTTACTCAACTTTTCTTTGCCTTTTTGAGATGGGTTCTCCCTGTAGCCCCAGCTGTCCTAGAACTCACTATGTAGACCCAGCTAGCCTTGAACTCTAGAGATCTGCCTGCCTCTGTCTCCAGAGTGCTAGGACTAAAGGCATGTGCCACCACGCCTGGCCCATTTTACTCAATTTAACACATCTTTCCAGTGGTCTGAACAAGAATCCTTAAAAACGAATTCCATCTCATCACCTCTGTAATCTCATTTCTTACAGCTAACCTCTTATACACTTCATATTAGCTACTGTTTCTTGTTCTTTGAAGAAAAGATTTTTAAAATTTTTTATTTATGTGTATGTGGTGGGAGGAATATATGCACATGAATGAAGGTGCCTGTGGAGACCAGAGACATTGGATCCCTCTGGAGCTGGAGTTACAAGCCATTGTGAGCCACTCGACATACATACATACTGGAAGTTGAACTCAAGTCCTCTGCAAGATCAGTAGTGCTGCTCTTAACCACTGAGCTATCACTCTGCCCCCTCCTTTCTTGTTCTTCAAACATGCCAAGAACATTCCTATCTTAGCACTTTTATGGTTACTCTTCCCGTTTGTAGTCTTTCCTGAGATAGCTGTATGGATTACTTCTTCACATCCATCAAGTTATGGGGGCAGTAGCTTCCAAAATCTTCAACCAGCCTCCAGATCCTAGGGAATACATTGCTCCTGAAGTCACTGCTGATAGACAGCCGAGTCTTGCTCTTCAGTCTTGTCTGAGGAATAACAAAAATTATGAGACACAAAAAAGGAAGGAAAACTTATAGAAATACTGGCAATACATTTCATAGGAAGGAGCAGTATTACCGTGAGGTAGTGGGTTCAGGGAAAATGTGATAAAATGTACTCACAGGGTTTGTTGGTGGAATGGCTTCTGCATTCAGCAAGCCTCTCAACAAGTTGCCGCTCTCAGTTTACCGTCCGCCAGCTTTCCTCCCCAGAAAATATGGTCCACTCCCATGATTCTGCTTGGCAAAGCTCTCCAGCCCATTCTTCTGAACATCACATCAATGCTGTCAATTTGTGTAAGACACACAGCTATGAATTCCCGAAAGTCAGAACATCAAGGGCTATCAAAATGTGCTCTGTCCATCCACCTTTCTCAGCTACATGCCTCTCTTCCACTACCCACAGCCTTCCTCAATACGGAAAGTAATCCTTAATTTCCTACTTCCCCTCACTTTTCATGCTAAATTCATCAAGACCTGCTAATTAGTTCTATCTTCAAAATATATCTCTGCACCATGTTTCTCCATCATTATCCAAGCCATTATCGATTCTCTCCTGAACTTCAAATTTTTTGGTATATTTACTTCTAGATTTTTAAATTTTACTCTTCTAAAGTGTGTTTAGCAGACAGAATAAGAACTTTTTTTCAGAAAGACAGACATGGATTCAAATTCTGACTCTACCAGAAATTATGTGTGATTCAGTATCTCTAAGTCCCACTTCACACACACATAAAATTGGACGATGGTATTTAACTCATAGGGTTGTTGTAAGGATGAAATAAGACAATTCATATAAAGGTACTTGATCATAATAGTCATAAGATGATAGGTATTGTATGTGCACATAAATGAATGTCTTGCACAAATGATATCATGTAATATACTGATATGTTTTCTTTTATATGTTGTATATTTTCTGTAAATACATGAGGGCAGGGACTATGTTTGGTTTTGCTAATTACTATATGACTACAGTTAATTAGTACCTGTGCCTGTTTGTTGAAAGTGATCCAGCAAAGAGTTAGTTAGAACTAAGAGTTAGTTAAAACATGGCAGAGCAGAGGCTCAAGGAAACTAGGTTCTTGGTGATATCATTGAGTCACAGATTTCCCTACACTGGGGCCACG